ATTATTGGCCCTCTTGCCTTTACTAATGAATTGTGTAACCTTTATTCTTGATTATTGCCTTTAATTGTTTTTTTTGATAGTTCTGTACAAGATCAGTCCAAAAAAATTGTTGGGTATTTTGCTCCATTCTTGCTTGGCAATAGCTTCTAGTTCATCCAAATTCAAAGGACTTCTTACTTTTTTTTCTTCAAATGTGTCCATAAATTTTCCATGGGGTTTAGGTCAGGACTTTGTATAGGGTATACCTTAATTTTGCTATCAACTAAATATTTTGTAACAATTCATGCTGTGTGTTTTGGGTCATTGTCATATTGGAATGTCCTGTGATGCCCCAAAGACACCTTTCATGCACTTTATTTTATATTATTTTTAAGAATAGCCAAATAATGCTCTTTATCCATGATATCATGGACTCTCACTAGTTCTCTTGGTCCAGAAGCAGCAAAACATCCCCAGAACAGAATGATCCCACCACTGGGCTTAATTGTAGGGAGGGTATTTTTTGGTTTGTGAGCCTCATTCACTTTCCTCCATACATAACAGGAATTCATGTGACCAAATAATTCTAGTTTGCTTTCATCTGACCATTAAACAGAATTGCAATATTTATTCCCATGTTCTAGATGGCTTCTAGCATAAGCTAATCTTAATTTTAGGTCTTTAGCCTTAAACAAGAGAGCATTTCTTGGGTGACAAGTCCTGCTTGATGAAAACATCTAGTGACTGTCTTTGTTGATACATTCAATACTGATGTCTTTACATCTTTGTCATTAAGTGAGGATTCTTTGAGACATCTCTAACAATTTTGCTTTCCATTCTCTTAGAAATTAACCATTTTCTGCCAATCCTTTATTTATTCTCAACATAACAATATTTCATTGTACTTCTTCATAATGCTATGAATTGTTGATCTAGAAACAATTAGATGCCTGGAAAGTGTTGTATATCTATTACCTTTGTTTGTATGCATCAATTATCTTAATTCAGAGCTTTTTTGTCAAGTTCAGCTGTCTTTGCTATAATTGAAGAATGAATGTGTTATGACAGTACATGGCACTCATATAATGTCTTCTTCATTACCTTTTAGAATATTATAGAATCAAGTCAATTCTATTTTCTTTTCAAAGGGTGTTTGTATTAAATGTCAAATTAAAAAGAACAAAAAACATTACAATTGCCATAGAGTAATATTATTTGAGAATTTCCATAGGTGGGGTGGGGGGATGATGAATGATTTTGGACAGCACCAATTTTTAGAAAAATCTATAACTATGAATATAATAGATGGAAATTTCCAAAAATTTCACAAATTATTCAAAACTAAATGTGGAATCAAATATTTATGGTAAATTCAGTAAGTATTTCCTTAGAAAATATGCAAATATTCATTTGGGGCGAATTATTCTGTACTGAACTTTGTGTGTGTGTGTGTGTGAGAGAGAGAGAATGAAAATAAAGAAAGAAAGAAAAAATAGATTTATTTCTCCATATCTATCGCACCCAATTTGTAATTAAGTGTGTAGAAATATGCCCGGTTGAGCTAAATATATGAAATCTTACAATAACAGCAAACAATTCAATGATCACTATGAATCAAATGGTTGCTCAAATTATTCAAAACTAAATGTGGAATCAAATATTTACCCTCAGTAAAAAGAAAAATGCAAATATTCATTTCCAAAATTCTGTGGTCAACTTTGGTTTGTGTTGAGAGAGTCAAATTGCCTTTGAAAAACTTTGAAAAAAGAAAAAATAGATTTACATACCATCTTCAAATAAAAACATAGAAATCCACAGGCCTAAATATGAAATCTTCAATCAAACAATTTGATCAAATGGTTGCTTCAAATGGGAACCCTCTAAAAAGGAACGTGCAGTCATTTGTTCAAAATTATGTGGTCATCTTTCTTTTGTCTTTTCAAGTCAAAGAGGCCTTTGATAGAATATTGAAAACCTTCCATTTCACATACCATTTCCAACCTTGAAACATCTTCACAACACATCAATCATCTTTTTCACTCTGTTGCCTAACAGGAAAAGATCGTGCATTTTTTATATATATATAATCTTTCTTTTACATTTTTACTCAACAGAGGATAAATGATAGAATATATAAAATGGTTTTTATATCAATGCATATATATATATAAACAATATATATATATGGGAAATATCATTTTATATATATATATATATATATATATATATATATATATAAATATATAATATTTATATATATATATATATATATATATATATATAATATTTTATATATATATATATACCCAAGTATAGGATTGGTGTATATTTAATAGATTCCAATAACCAAAAAATACTATTCTTAAAAGAGTGCTCAATACAGAGTAGAACAAATATAATTTATTCAAAAATTATAACATAAATATGTTATAAAATCACATATTTATGTTATAATTTTTGAATAAATATATATATATATATATATATATATATATATATATATATATATATATATATATATATATATATATATATATATATATATATATATATATATATATATATATATATATATATATATATATATATATATATATATATATATATATATATATATATATATATAAATATAAAATATATTTAAAAAGACGCACTGGGTTTTTTATATATATATATATATATATATATATATATATATATATATTGGAATAATGTTTTGATACCACAAAACAAATATAATGATTTAAAGAAAATGAATTATTTTTTGTATGACTATTTTTTTTTGTTTTTTTTTTTGAAGGACCTAGGTACCTTTCGCCAGCGCTTCATCAGGGTCTTTCGTTGGCAAATGATTTTAAACAAACAATGAAAATGAAAAAAGAACGCCAAAATGGTATGGTTGGAACACGTCTAAAATTTTATGAAGATATATATACGTAAAATTAAAATAAATTTTACGATTAAAATAAATGCGTAAATAATGAATTAATAATAATGAACCAACCTGAGCAGTAAAATAGGAAAATAAGTTGCTCATATATCAAAAAATAAATTTAGCAATCGTGAAAAATTCTCCTTTTTGTTTAGAAAGCGATGGTTTAAATAATTTGAGGGCAGATGGCTTCCAAAATAGACAGATGATATTTGGACCTGCCTACGCATATAATTGAAAATGAGTCCATTGTGAAAACGTTTTGAGTATGACTCATTTTCTAATAGGTGTTGCCCGATCGCCGAATCGTGAGCTGATTGCAAAAACACGAATGCGATTATCCAAATTTAATCTAATGTGTCTGGGTACATGTTGTCCGATTCTTGTTTCCAAACGAAGACATGTTCGCCCTATGTATTCAGCTTCGCACTGACATTTAAATTTATATATAATCGAACTTTTATTATGATAGGGCAAACGATCCTTGGAAAAAGACGGAAAAACAGTACGAGTACCAAAGACAACACGTACTTTGGCCGAAAAGAAGGTAGCAGAAACAACATTTGAAACTTTATCAGTCAAAGTTTACATTTTCTGCCCAGCCAAGGTAATTTCAGATAAATAGGGCAAAGACCTGGGCCAAATTTTGGGGCATATTGAAATTCTCTATTTTTTTGCTTCATTAATGCGGTCAACAATGTTGGCTGGAAAACCATTGTTGATGAGAATGTCTCTGAATTTTGTTCAACTCTTGTTGAAGTGTGCTAGAGGAACAAATTAATAAAGCCCTATGAACTAAGGTCTTAACCAGATTTATTTTTTCTGGTATGGGGACAAATGAGTTCCAATTAGTGTAAAGACCTGAAAAGGTTTCTTTGAAACACACTAGTGATGAAAATATTATTCTTTTCGTTCCACATGAACATCCAAAAAGGATATAGAATTATTCATTTCTTCATCTATAGTGAAGACTAAAGATGGGTGCAAGGAATTTAACGCTTCACAAAAGAGAGTGGCTTCCTCTATGTTATTAAACAGAGAAAAAGTATCATCAACATAACGTTGATAGATGTAAGGTTTTTGATATTTCTCAAATAAAATGCTTTCATGATATCCGACAAAGATGTTGGCCAAAAAGGGACCTAAAGGACTACCCATAGAAACGCCATCTACCTGGGAGTACATAATACCTTCAAAGCTAAACTCTATTCCTTCTGTTACCAATGTTAGGAACTCCAAGAATAAGGGCTCAGGAATAAAGGGAGGACCCAGGAAACTTCTATAGAGCATATCAGCACATATCTGTGCTGTTTCTTTGAGGAGGATATTGGTATACAGACGAAAGACACCATAATCTTGTGATCAGAAGAAATAGAACAATTTCTAATGAGTTTAGAGAAGGTGAAGGAGTCAGATACACAATAGGTTGAGAAATAATCAGAAATAGGTTTAATTAACTCTGATAACCACTTGGCCAATTCATGCTGTGCTGAACCCACCAGAGATAAAATGGGACGTAACGGCACATTATTTTTGTGAATTTTAGGCAACCCATAAAGTCTGGGTCTTTGGGAACCTACAGGTCTAATTTCATTTTCATTGTTTGTTTAAAATCATTTGCCAACGAAAGACCCTGATGAAGCGTTGGCCGAAAGGTACCTAGGTCCTGCAAAAAAAAAAAAAATGGTCATACAAAAGAAATTCATTTTCTTTAAATCAATATATATATATATATATATATAGACACACAAACACAGGAAATACAGTTTATCAACTATATACAGAAAATAACATCTTTTGCAATTACTTTATCAGTAAACTTAGTTTAATCTGGCACAAGGCTAGCAGCTCCATCAGCACTTATTAAGACAAATCTAATCTAGTACAAGGCCAGTCAAATAATCTGTCTTCACTTTGCCAAATATAGTCTGGTACAAGGCCAATGAATTCTTAACTTGATCCAAGATCAACAAATTTATCAGGTTTTATTAAATTTATTTTAGCATGAAGCCAATTACTGTTAGTATTTACTAGGATTAGTTTAGTTTATCACAAGGGTAAAAAAATTTTATCATTCTCTACAACAAACCTTTGTTTTCACTGGTTGTTTGGTCATCTTCTTCCTCTTTATACACAGTAGACTCAGTCGCATCCTCACTGTCCATTGATTTGATCTCTTTAGGGCTTAAAGATTGATTTCCTTCAAAATTAGATACTTGCTTATTTCGTTTCAGGGAACCTCGCCGAGGTTGACTGTTGCTTGATATTGCTGAAAAATATAATTATAAATTGATAACATAATTTATCTTTTTGAGAAGATATGATGATATGAAGATGCGAAGAAAATCTGTGGATATGAAGAAGATATGAAGAAGATATGAAGAAGATATGAACATATGAAGAGGATATGAAGAAGAGATGAAGATATGAAGAGGATATGAAGAAGATAAGAATATGATATGAAGAAGAAGATATGAAGATATGGAGAAGACATGATGAAGATATGAAGAAAATATGAAGATATAAAGAAGATATGAAGAAGATATGAAAAAGATATGAAGATATGGAGAAGATAAGATGATGAAGATATAAAAATATGAAGATAAGACGATATGAAGAAGATATGAAGAAGACATGAAAAAGATATGATGAAGATAAGAAGAGGATATGGAGACGATAAGAAGATATGAAAAAGATATGAAGATATGGAGAATATATGAAGAGGATATGAAGAAAATATGAAAATATGAAGAAGATAAGACGATATGAAGAAGATAAGAAGATATGAAGATATGAAGAAGAAGACATGAAGAAGATATGAGGAAGATATGAAGAATATAAGAAGACATGAAGAAGATATGAAGAAAATAAGAAGATATGAAGATATGGTGAAGATATGAAGGTATGAAGAAGATATGAAGAGGATATGGAGAATATAAGAAGATATGAAGAAGAACTGAAGATATGAAGAAGATATGAAGATAACATGAACATAAAAAATTATCATTAGAACAAAAAAACAAACCAAACAAAATTTTAAAAGCAGATAATTTATGTTTAATATTTGTTATATATGTGTCAATTTACGACCATTTGTCCTATGGTCACCAAGTTTTATAATGTGGAGAAGGTTGCAATGAACTGTTCTTACTGTAGATGTGACATGTTTCTTGTGTCTGATTCATACTGTAACAAACAACTTGTGGTTACTTGAATCATAGCTCCTGTCTTTTATTATATGTCTCCTATTAACCCCTACTTCCTGACATCTCTCAACTGCTAACCATTTACACTGATGTGCCAAAAGTTATGAGGTAGCAGTATATAAAAGTAATGGCAGATGGTGACCTCATATCTTGACATCATGGAAATCACCAAATCTATATCAATTATGCTCTGATATTTGGTGAGTCAGTGTACATATTGACTAGGCTGCTCATTGTAAGATGACATTAATTATCAGACTTTGAACAGGACATGGTAATGGGTACCAAATGTTTGGGGTATTCCATTTCAAAGTGAGGAGATTTGACATCCCTCAACCTATGGAGTCATGTATGTACCTGATTGAAAGCATATTATCACCAGAGATAGAGTAGAGCACAGTAGCTGACCAATGATAAGGATTAGAAGCATTTGGCTAGAATTAACACTGGCTCAAATCACATCCACATTCAATGCAGGATATACCAGACACATATCAGTTCTATGGGATATGAGAGCAGAAGATCCACTAGGGTGTCACTGTTAACACTGTAACAAAAGATACCCCTGAGTTTGCAATATAAGTAATTGGAAACTGAAGAAATGGTAATGCGTTGCTTTATCAGATGAGTTATGGTTCCAGTTGTTTCAGGCTGATCCTAGGGTTTGGATGTGGTGCAGATTCCATGTCAACAAGGCACCATGCAGTTTAGTGGTGTTCCCATAACAGTGTTGGGTGTGTTCACATGTTGTTTACCCAGTATTGTGTTGATTGAGTATTGATGGGATGTGATGAAGAGGTCCATTCTTACACAAAATTCTGCCCCTATAACTATCAGAGCTATGTATAGATACCATGGCTTCAGAGATCTCTCCAGAGGTCTTCTGAGCATTTATTGAATTACTAGACACTTGGCTAGGATAGAGGAGAGTTCCCGCATAATACTAGACACCTATTCCATGACTTTTAGAATCTCAGTGAATATATTTTGGCCTTCAGACAAACAACAAAAATGCAATGAAAGCTGTAATGAGCATAATGTTCATTTAACAGTACAGTGTAACCCGGATATAAGAGAAATCCGGATATAAGAGAGATTTTCTCTGGTCCCAAATTAGAGCCTGTGTTAATGTATATAAAATAGACCAAACCCGGATATAAGAGAAACCCGGATATAAGAGACATCTTCTCCAGTCCCGACAACTCTCTTGTATCCGGGTTACACTGTATTACTAGTAAGTTCTTAAAGAACTTAACCTTTAGCATCTGTAGGTAACTTTGCTTGCTGAGCAAAATGTTTGTCCTTTTATTGCAGATAGCTGAATGATAGTACGTTTGAATTTCATGGTTATACTATCATACCCTATTGCTATGGCAACAAAAAAACAAATAACTTCAAATAAAGAATAAGGCTATAGCAGTTGAAAGACCCTGAAAAAGGAAAGGGAAGTAATAGTTGTAAATAATGGAAAAGATTGAATAAGTTAGTGGAAAGCATTTGTTGCATTGCAGCAAAGCTGAATGAGAGAAAAGGCAACCTTGAAATAAAGAGAGTTATTTAGCAGATGATAGAAGATGACCACCATTGTACACTGCTTAAATGTGGTCTTATACAAAATATCTAGCAAGTTTCACCCATGTTGGAAAGTCTTCTAAAATTAGTGATCAATTGAAAAAATTTTTTTAAAGAACTGCTTTTTCCTTTTTTTTTGCTTTTTAGAATAATTGGAATTGAAATAAAGAATTTTTGGATCCTTATATTTTTCCCTTTCTTATACATCCATTCAATTTTAAGTTTCCTTACACTAAAGTATTATTTTAATATATTAAAATAATGAATTTTTTTTATTCAGGCAAAGGTTTAGTATTAGTTTTGTTTTGCCAACTTAGTTTTACTTAGTTTTTTTTTAGTATATTTATTGTAAATAATTCATTGTTTACTCCATGACATAAATTCACAGCAAACACAGATTTATAATTTTTTTTCTTCTTGCTTTCCTTACATAAAAAGAAATTGTTTCATTCATAGAATTGCAAAAATAAAACAGCTTGTGCTATTTTATAAAAATTAAAATATATTTTCAAATGTATTTAGAAAAAGTCCTCTATTTCCATATTTAACATTTTTTGTCTAACCCATTTAAAAATAAAATATCAAGCAATAAAATGTTCTATATTTCTCCTTTGCTATTTCAACTTTATGAAATCCTGTTTAGGATTGGGTTTTTGGTTCCTTCTAAAATTTTCTCATTTTCATTTACTCCCAGTAACCCCTTGCATCATAGTGGCATTATCACCTTGCTTGTGTTAAATTGATTAAAAAAATCTTTGTTGAGAAATGAATGGATATGTACTATATTATAAGTTATCTAAATTCAGGATAATTATTCAGATAAGCTTTCCTCTTTGGCACCTCAATTTCACAAATTTAAGCACAGTACTAGATTGGCAGCTACTATGCCTCATCTTTTTTACTGTTAAAATCGATAAATCTAACCACAAGTTTCTTCTCTTGCACTTCTCACTTGTGGAACTCACTTCTGTCTTCTTGCTTTCCTGTCAACTATGATCTTCAAAAATTTAAATCAATCATCATCTTCTGTCTCTTTGAATCCTGTTCTTTTATTTTCTTCTCTCTTCAATAATGTTTTCTCGGTTTCTTTGTCAGTAACCTCTTGCATCTTGGTGGCTTTATCATCTTACTTGATATGAAACAATTAAAAAAACCAACTCGTTAAGCAGCTCTTAGAGTATGCAGCTGATTGTTTCATGCTATATGGAATTTCCTGTCTCACCAGAAGAATTTGTCATGATCACTTAAAAACACAAGTTCAGCTGCAGATCAATCAACTTAATTTGCAGTATTTAGCAATCCTGGTTTATTCTCTTTACAAGGAAATGATCTTAAATTTGATGAATATTAGAGTTCCTAGGCAGCTTTTGTTTGAAAAGATGATTCATGTTGTCTTTCAGAGTATGTTTGCTGAACAACTGTATTTTGTAGAATTCTTGAAGGTTAAGGGATTAATCATTATGTTTTTCTTTTATGGATATCTTGATTCTTCATACATAGTCTGGTTGTTACGGTTAGGGTTGGCTTGTACAATCCAAGGCACGCATGCTAATTAAACAATTGGAATTGGTAAAGAAGTGGGGAAATTAACTACTTTATCATGCATGTGAGAATGTGTGTCATTTCATCAGCCACTTTCTCTTCCAACATTAACTTCTGACTCTTTGGTTCAATGTGCTGTTGAGTTAGGTGTTATAGACAGTGTAAAAGGATAAAGCAAAGAATCCCATAGCAAAAGTAGAATTGAATATTCAATGAAATAAAATATTACATGGGAAAGCCTTATGTCTGAATTGGTGAAATGTAAAGTTGAATGTTGGTAATTTGTGCAAGTATTATGCAGGCATATTAACAAGTTGATCAATTGTTAAGTTTAATCAGAGTTCAGAGATTTTTCTAGAGAATCCTTTTAGGATTTGAACTGAAGAACAGTTCAAAGTCTGTACTTGTATTTGTCTGAAGTTAGCATTGCCTGCTGTTTCAGGGCTGCATAAATTCATGATGGCAGCTGGGAAAAAAACTACTGGAGACCTATTTAGTCTCCTGTAATTTATGCAAACTTAGTGGCTCCACTGAGTTCCAATTTAGGCAGAGTGAATATTAATTAGTTTTAAAATATATAATACGTTATATGACACTACCTTTTGCTGCTTCTGAGCTTTATGCTAATGGTCCCAAATTAAAATTTAAATGTTTTTTTTTAATTTTTTTATTGGCTCTCATGAGTAATAATCTTCAAGCCTACTTTTGATTGTGTTGAGTAATTGTAAACTGATGACATTTTAAGATTATGAAACTTAAAAATTGATAAACCAGCATTTAAAAAAGTAAATAATGATATTTTTATAAATAACTAAAATAGATGTTTGTGTTC